CTCACATCCCTGCGTTATTTTTGAAAAATGTGATGCAATAACAAGTCTGCCTAGTGAACTATCATCATGCATATCTCTTAGCCATTTTTTGGTCAAGTTTTGCGACAAAATAAAATCTATGGCAGATCAAGATGTATCTAGCTTGCAGTCTCTTTCATGTTTGGTAATATACGAGTGTTTGAAATTACAATATTTGCCGAGGGGCCTCCATTCTCTGCATGGTTTGAAAGAGATGACAATCGGTACAATCGGTAAGTTCTGGAAGCTGGACTCTTTTTCCTGATTTTGAGGTTCCATCGTCACAAATCCAAAGCTTAACGATCTCAGGGTGGCGTAAGCTCAAGTCTCTACCTGATCAAATTCAACACTTCACTACTTTAACGTCTTTGGAGATAAGATCATTCGGCAGAGTGGAGTCTTTGCCGGAGTGGTTGGGTGACCTTACATCTCTTACCCAACTGCGTATTAAGAGGTGCAAGAATCTCATGTATTTTCCTACAGTGGAAGCTATGCAACGGATCACCAAGCTACATGTGCTAGAGATTGATGCATGTCCCCATCTAAAGGAAGCATGCGCTGAGGAGAGCGGCAGTGAATGGCCTAAGATTTCCCGCATCCCACATAAACGATGTAAGTCAAAATATTCGTTGTTTGTTCATCTCCCTTCTCTCGCTTTTCTATTCTTCTATACTCACCACACATATTCTTTTGATTAGTTCACTGATGTGAAGATTCTCCGGCATTGTTAAATGATGTTTCGACCGAGTCGGGATCTTAAAGTGAGGATTTGATTCATACGGAGAGGCCTCAATGAACTAGCGCAGTTGGATATATATTCATGCTTATCATCTTTCAAGAGAAGTGCCTTGTTGGGTAGTCCGGAAGTTGTTCAAAATTGAAACACAAGGTAAGCTTTTCAAATCATCACTCCCCTCTCTCTCGTCAGATTAAACTAGGTTTTCAAAGCCTCTGCCTACTGCTTTCCGTATATGTACGTAGTAGTTCAAATGTTATACTAGGTTAGCTCATTTCAAGAGATATAACATGTCACTCCAAACCAAGTTCTAATCACTTCATCTTTTGCTCAATTCAGGTTTCTTTTGGTGAAGCAGGCAATGGCGTTATCCGAGATATTCTGCATTTTGGGATGTCTTGCCATAGCTTTCTCTAAGGTTTTGCATCCTTTTCTCTTTAATTACTTGTTCTTTATATTCGAAGGAGTCAAATTATTGGTTTCGGCTCATGTTTTGAAATTTATTTCTAGAAAGGTTGCTTGGTGGGCAGAACTTGGAAGAATGTTGGTCAGATGTGGAATGGGGATTCTTTCTTGTGTGGTAATTTTTGTGAGGATTTCAATTGCATGCAATTCGCATAAGATTTCCGTTAAAAGTTTCGCGTAAAAGTGTTTATGTTTTGATAACAAACAGGTGCCTTTTTTTGTGTGGAAATTATACAAGTTTATGAGGAGGTACAAGCAAAAGAGAAGAAAAATGTACAAGTACGAAGATTCAAAGAATGATGAATGAAACGAGAAAATAATTTGATCGAGAAACAAATTAAAGAAGAAAAACATCATGTTTGAGTTTTGTATCATTTTTGTGGAAATTGAACAAGATTCTGAGGAAAATACATTCTGTTTGACTTATGTATCATGTTCTTTATCCTTTGCTGCATAAAATTATTTATAATCGTTAATCATGAATAATCATTAAACTCCTAATAGAAACTTAGGAAATAAAATAGCATCACAGACTTTTTGTTGAAGTATTAGACTTGAAAGTTGAACCAACTGCGGTATCTGAACATGTACAACAACATACAAAAACAACAAAGCCTTTTCCCACTAAGTGGGGTCGGTTATATGAATCCTAGAACGCCATTGCGCTCGGTTTTGTGTCATGTCCTCCGTTAGATCCAAGTACTCAAGTCTTTTCTTACGGTCTCTTCCAAAGTTTTCCTAGGTCTTCCTCTACCCCTTCGGCCCTGAACCTCTGTCCCGTAGTCACATTTTCGAACCGGAGCGTCAGTAGACCTTCTTTACACATGTCCAAACCACCGGAACCGATTTTCTCTCATATTTCCTTCAATTTTGGCTACTCCTACTTTACCTCGGATATCCTCATTCCCAATCTTATCCTTTCTCGTGTGCCCATACATCCCACGAAACATCCTCATCTCCGTTACACCCATTTTGTGTACGTGTTGATGCTTCACCGCCCAACATTCTGTGCCATACAACATCGCTGGCCTTATTGCCGTCCTATAAAATTTTCCCTTGAGCTTCAGTGGCCTACGACGGTCACACAACACGCCGGATGCACTCTTACACTTCATCCATCCAGCTTGTATTCTATGGTTGAGATCTCTATCTAATTCTCCGTTCTCTTGCAAGATAGATCCTAGGTAGCGAAAACGGTCACTTTTTGTGATCTTCGCTAGATTGCTCCGGTCATTAGTGTGGATAAGTATATAAATGGATAGAGATAGGAAAGCAAACACAAGATGTACGTGGTTCACCCAGATTGGCTACGTCCACGGAATAGAGGATTTCTCATTAATTGTGAAGGGTTTACACAAGTACATAGGTTCAAGCTCTCCTTTAGTGAGTACAAGTGAATGATTTAGTACAAATGACATTAGGAAATATTGTGGGAGAATGATCTCGTAACCACGAAACTTCTAAGTACCGGAGTGTGGTATCGTCTTGACTTTCCTTATCTGTCTCATAGGTAGATGTGGCATCTTCTCTGGAAGTACTCTTCCTCCATCCATGGGTGGTATCTGTAACTGGTGGAGATGCACAAGGTAATGTATCAATTTCACTTGAAGCTTACTTGAAGTTTCAGGCTTGGTCAAGCGCGATACAAACCATGTAGTAGGAGTCCCCCAAGTCGCCGGGCTAGGGGATCTGCTGAAAGAGGTGACAGACAAGGTAAGCAATCAGAGCTCCGGCTGATTGTTCACATTCTCCCTATCTTGCAGGCAGCATGAAGGATAAAGAGAAGAAAAATGAGAAGAGATGATATGGGATACTTTTGCTTTTGAAGAAGTAACTTTCCACAGGCTTATTCTTGAACCGGGCTGGAGGGTTTTCTGGTTTCCTCCAGAGTATAAGGCCGACTGAAGAATTTGAGGGTCAAAACAAGTCCATCAAATCTAGAGTACGTTCGACCCTGCTGATATGGGATACTTTTGTTTTTGATAGAGTAGTGGATGTATCGGCACGTGTGCTGCTGTTACGCTTGTCTCCACATGCTTCCTTGTATCCTTCTCACTTGCTCTATCTGTTCCTCAGGCAGAGATGCGGTATCTTCCCTGGAAGCATAAGATGTTGAAGATGAGTACTCGAGAGCAATGCCAGGTAAGTAATCAGGTAAGGGGTTCTAGGCAGTCAGTTCCTGGCTGGAAGCTTGATTCCAAGTGCTGACTGATTGCTCTCTTTCTCCTTGTCTTGCAGGTAAGAACAAGGCCAAAGGAAAAGACAGGGAAAAAGCATGATATGGGATACTCTTGCTTTTAACCCTGATGATATATGAGATATTCTTGCTCTAGTATAGCTTGTTTACAGAGGTATTATCGGGGGGAAAGAAAGCTGAATATTTCGAAAAGCTTCGTTGGGAGTGCCCTCTCAGATAAGAGAAAGGGTTGAGCATTTTTGCAGGTCTGCCTGTCCGTTAGGGATGGAGGTCGACATATATAGGAGTCTCCCTAACATCAAGTAATAATGCTATTCCTTTACCCTGCTTGGTCATAACACGGTAGTGGGAGCTGCCAGCTTCACATGTTTTAACTCTGTCAGAGCACTTTGAAAAAGTGGTATGTGGTATCTGGAAAGTTGATGTTGCGTGTGAAGATTACAGACAAGCTTTATCCAATGAGGTCCAGCTCTTGAAGTTGGGAAAGTGGTGCCTCTTCGGTTTTCGAACAAGCAATCCTGTCGGGGATCTGGCTCTCGAGATTCGGAGAACGATGCCTCTTCGATTTTTGAGAAAGCAATCCTGTTGGGGGTCTGGCTCTCGAGATTCGGAGAGCGGTGTCTCTTCAATTTTTGAGAAAGTAATCATGTTGGGAGTCTGGCTCTCGAGATTCGGAGGGCGGTGCCTCTTCGATTTTGGAGCAAGCAATCTTGTTGGGAGTGTTTTCTCAAATGTGAGTAAAGGTTGGGCATGTTTGCTAGTCTACCTTGCCACGAAGCACAGAGGTTGACACACATGGACTTTCCAATTATCCAGCAGTGGTACTGTTCCTTTACCCTCTCTTCGATTTTTGAGAAAGTAATCATGTTGGGAGTCTGGCTCTCGAGATTCGGAGGGCGGTGCCTCTTCGATTTTGGAGCAAGTAATCTTGTTGGGAGTGTTTTCTCGAATGTGAGTAAAGGTTGGGCATGTTTGCTAGTCTACCTTGCCACGAAGCACAAAGGTTGACACACAGGGACTTTCCAATTATCCAGCAGTGGTACTGTTCCTTTACCCTCTCTTCGATTTTTGAGAAAGTAATCATGTTGGGAGTCTGGCTCTCGAGATTCGGAGGGCGGTGCCTCTTCGATTTTGGAGCAAGCAATCCTGTTGGGAGTGTTTTCTCGAATGTGAGTAAAGGTTGGGCATGTTTGCTAGTCTACCTTGCCACGAAGCACAGAGGTTGACACGCCGGGACTTTCCAATTATCCAGCAGTGGTACTGTTCCTTTACCCTTGTGGGTAATAATATGGTAGCTAGACCTTCAAAATTTATGTGTCTAAACTTTGTTAGTGTTGTTTCTTTGCAATTCTTTTATCCTTCTTGGTCAGAGCGATGTAGCGGGAGCTGCAAGCTTCACGTGTCTCAACTTTGTCAGAGAACTTTGGCAAAGTTATCTGTGGTACCCATGAGTTACTGTTGCGTGTGGGAAGTGAGTGATTGAACAGTACGATTCATGTGCTTTCTACTTCGCCAGAAATCTTCGACAGAATGCCCATAATTTCCGCAAAGCTGAGTGTGCGTGTGACAGGTGCTGACAAGGCTGGAAAAGTAGGTGCCTCTTCGATTTCTGAGATCGGCCCTTGTGGTCTCTGAGCAGCCCAGCTTTTGAGAAAGCAAGCCTCTTCGATTTCTGAGATCGGCCTTCGTGGTCTTTGAGCAGCCCAGCTTTTGAGAAAGCAAACGCCTCTTCGATTTCTGAGATCGACCCTCGTGGTCTCTGAGCAGCCCAGCTTTTGAGAAAGCAAACGCCTCTTCAATTTCTGAGCAGGCGCCTCTTCGATTTCTGAAGCTTCGTCGAGTGCAGATTTTTTATAGGGGCTGACATTAAGTTCCAAAGCACACTTGAATATCCACCAGTAGAAAGCTCCATTCTTGCACTTCTAAGATCTTGATTTGTCCGACCTTTTCTCTCTTCAACACCTTTGAAAATGTCTGGCCCCTCCGACCGTCGTTTTGACTTGAACCTTGTTGAAGAGGCAGCCCCGCCTTCTCCAGACAACATATGGCGCACATCCTTCGTCTCTCCCCTACTGGTCATCTTACCGTTGGGGATTCCGTGATGAAGAATGATATGACCGCTGCGGTAGTGGCCAGGAACCTTCTCACTCCCAAAGATAACAGACTACTTTCCAAACAGTCTGATGAGTTGGCTGTTAAGGATTCTCTGGCTCTCAGTGTTCAGTGTGCATGTTCTATGTCTAATATGGCCCAATGCCTATTTGCTCGAACCCGCCAAGTTGAATCATTGGCGTCTGAAGTGATGAGTCTCAAACAGGAGATTAGAGGGCTCAAGCATGAGAATAAACAGTTGCACCGGCTCGCACATGACTATGCTATAAACATGAAGAGGAAGCTTGACCAGATGAAGGAATCTGATGGTCAGGTTTTACTTGATCATCAGAGATTTGTGGGTTTGTTCCAAAGGCATTTATTGCCTTCGTCTTCTGGGGCTGTACCGCGTAATGAAGCTCCAAATGATCAACCTCTGATGCCTCTTCCTTCTAGGGTTTTGTCTAGTACTGAGGCTTCGAATGATCCCCCTCCGGTGCCTTCTCTTTCTGGGGCTCTACCGACTGCTGAGACTTCTCCTAAGCCACCTTTGTGAAGGCTCCCTCTTGTTTGTTTATTTTGACTCAAGTATATGTACATATTTGTAATTTATCGGGGATATCAATAAATAAGCTTTCTTTCATTTCAACGTATTGTGTTAAATACACCAAAGCCTTCTTCGCTAAGTTCTTTGAATTTTCTTTTGTTGAAGCTTGTATGTTGAAGCTTTGTGAATGGAGCATGTAGGTTGAGGTAGTGTTCCCTTAATTTCCCGAGTGAGGAAAACTTCTCGGTTGGAGACTTGAAAAATCCAAGTCACTGAGTGTGATCGGCAATATGAATCTTAGAACGCCATTGTGTTCTGTCCTGTGTCATGTCCTCCGTTAGATCCAAGTACTCTAAGTCTTTTCTTAGGGTATCTTCCAAAGTTTTCCTAGATCTTCCTCTACCCCTTTGGCCCTAAACCTCTGTCCCATAGTCGCATCTTCTAATCGGAGTGTCAGTAGGCCTTCTTTGCACATGTCCAAACCACCGTAACC